TTTTTTGATACTGCAGATCATGGGATTCTTTTTGACCGTTTGCAGGAGGGGTGGGTGATTAGGCAGCTTGCTTTAAAGTGGTTCTCTTCCTATCTACATGGAAGATCTTTTACAGGTGGAGTTAGGAAGCTCTATTTCATCTCAGCATATTTCCTCAGGGGTTCCTCAAGGTTCATGTCTTGGTCCTGTTTTGTTCTCCTCATACAGGTGCATCTCAATAAATTAGAATGTCATGGAAAAGTTCATTTATTTCAGTAATTCAACTCAAATTGTGAAACTCGTGTATTAAATAAATTCAATGCACACAGACTGAAGTAGTTTAAGTCTTTGGTTCTTTTAATTGTGATGATTTTGGCTCACATTTAACAAAAACCCACCAATTCACTATCTCAACAAATTAGAATACTCCATAAGACCAATAAACAAAAAACATTTTTAGTGAATTGTTGGCCTTCTGGAAAGTATGTTCATTTACTGTACATGTACTCAATACTTGGTAGGGGTTCCTTTTGCTTTAATTACTGCCTCAATTCGGCGTGGCATGGAGGTGATCAGTTTGTGGCACTGCTGAGGTGGTATGGAAGCCCAGGTTTATTTGACAGTGGCCTATTTGGTAACAATAAAAAATATAAATAATATGGTGAGAAAAAATCAAACATTTCATAGGGCCTTAAACATGTAATTTTTGTTAATCTTTTAATAAATTGATGTGAAAATGTATGCGTTTCATGATTTTAATCAATAAGAATAAAAGACTATTTTCCCCTATATATTTCATCATTGAGGATTTCTTTAAAAAAAGTCTAAAAATCTCGTCTCGTCTCATTTGCGTCTCGTGGGATAAGTGTCTCATCACACCCCTAATAGTTAGGGTTGCAACTAGGTGGAAAATATACATAAATTTCCAGAACTTTTGGAATTTTTTTTGGATACTTTCAGAAATGTTTTATAATTGTTGGAAACTTTTGGAAAGTTTCTGGGAATTTACTGGAAATGTTCCACCCCTTTGCAAAATTATTATTGACTGCAGACTAGACTGTGCGATTTGGGAAAAATATCTAATTGCGATTTTTTTGGCAGATATTGCGATTGTGATTTGACTCGTCTCGTCCTCGTTAACCCAGTCTCGTCTCTCGTCTCATGGGATAAGTGTCTCATCACACCCCTAATATATACTGTATATACAGTGGGTACGGAAAGTATTCAGACCCCCTTCAATTTTTCACTCTTTGTTATATTGCAGCCATTTGCTATATATATACACACACACACACACAAATATTTCCCTTATGATGCCTTACAATGCAATCCAAGTGGGGTAGCTTGTCACTGAGATTAACTATATTAAATCCTGTATTTACTGCAATGATAACTCTTACACAGTAGCAGACTATATAAGCATTTTAATGAACTTACAGCATATATCATAAATAGCAATTATCAGTCTGGAGTTGTCGCTTTATGAGTAGTGCCAAGGAGAGATGAGCGAATGCCCATTTTCCATCCTGCTCTCTCTCTTTTTCCGCCTGCAGGTCATCCCTTGTTCCCCCACTCTCCCTTGTCTGTCTGCCATTAGCCATGGTCAATTGGATTCCTGTCAGCACCGCCGAACTGCTGCTGGTCTATTTCAAATTGGTGGATGAGCAGAGAGGGGCAACCCTCATACACACACGCACACTAAAAGACTCTGAAACACATAGTTCAATGTAAAATGACTAGCACCCAGTGCACTAGGGGCTCAGGGCAAGGGAGGGCATGTCCAACATTAGCATCTTTTTTAACGTTAGTGATGAGGATCACACAGAATGAACCATATGCAGCAGAATGTTCACCTTGACACTTTCACCCGGTCGGTCTGTTATGAGGAAGGCTGCGACAACACTTCAGTGTTTTGATGTGTTTGTGTTCCTGCATGCAACTGTGGCTATTTGCTGATAAGACAGAGCTGCCAGCTAAAGGTCAAAAGTTAAATGTAGCAATGAACGAGTGCTGGTTGCCACAGCAACTCCCATGGTACAGGATTATGGGGTGTGATTCAGAGGTTTGGCAAGGGTTGTGTATCTCTCTTGAGCTTGAGCCTCATAATTAACTGCTGCTTAAAACAATTCACACGCTTTTTGTCTTTTTTTTTTCCAGCAATTTACAATTAAGGATATATTCCTAGAACAACCTGCAGCTCAGAGCAAGGTGTGAAATCAAATTACTATTACCATTTCACCTAAGAGTCCTGTCCAAATCATTAAACAGAAACAGTTTGAGTGATTAAACAGAACAGTGTGGCCGCACAAATTTGCACAGATGGTCTTTGAAATAAATCATCTACAGTACCTATACAACATTGCCCAAAAATGCTGCTGACGTAGCTGTTAGAAACAGTCAATATACGGAGGAGAAGTGAAAGGAGGTGAGGTGAGATCTTCATCCCTCCCTACACAAATTCAGTTATTCATAACAGTCTTACTGGCAGGAATGGTCATTTGCTGCTGCAGAAGCATTATTACTGTCTTTTTCTACCCCTTTTTTCATTTAATTCTCTGTATGACTCCCACATTAGTCTGTCTCCTACTCTCTCTTTTTGTCTTTTTCTCTCTCTTCATTTTTGTCACTTTTCCACCCTAAGAAAGAGAATAGAAAAATGGGGTGAGAAAGTCAGAATGTGTGTGTGTGTGTGTGTGTGTGCGCGCAAGTATGTGCCCGCACTTCTGGGAATCAGTGGAGCAGCGGCCAATAACAATCTCCATCAAAACCTAGACATCCTGTCAATGTCATTCTGCAGAAAAAGCAGTCAGAACCGAAGAGAAAGCACGAGAGAGATGTTATTGAGAGGATGACTAAGCATGTGTGGCTGCAGGTCTGCACGTGTGTGAGAGTTTGGCGTGCAGGGATGTGTGAGTGCATACAGTGCTGCAGTAAAGGTGAGTGTGTATGAAGTCCTCTAGCCTCCTGCTAGTCCCCTGCCACTCCTCAGCATTGATTTAAACAAGCTGCATCTGAGGGCTGAAAACTCACTGACCTGGAAAAGGGCTGAAAGAGGGAGAGAGCGAGGGAGGGACATTCTGTTTGAGGGTGAAGAACGAACAGGGGAGAAAGAGAAGCAGAGGACAGGAAGTGTGGGATACAGAGGAGGACAGAAACATCCGGCTACATACCTTATATTTAAAGTTAACATGAAATAAAAATGGACCCTGTTTACTTTCTTAAAGGGGTCATATGACGCGATTTAAATTTTTCCTTTCTCTTTGAAGTGTTACAAGCTCTTGGTGCATAAAGAAGATCTGTAAAGTTGCAAAGGTGGATCGCCGGATCGGCTTTCACTGTTGACAAAGCGGAGTCTAGCCCGGGGTCGTCACATGTGGTTGCCGCAAGCCCGCTGGCCTCCGCTCACTCTAGCCCGCCGTGTGTTTCATTGTAAAAGCAAAACTACTTTGTTTGGCCTTCCAAAAGAGGACACGATTAGAAATCAGTGGTTAAGTTATATTTACAGCACTGTTCCTAAACAGTTCAACCCAAATATCCATTTGTGTGCAGCACATTTTATGGAGGACTGTTTCCTGATCCTGGAAGAGTAGACTACAATGCCGGCATTTCATTACTCCAAATACACAAAATAATGTTCTTTTTAGCAGCATATGACCCCTTTAAACTAAAAATGAAAGTTAATAAACACAAGAGCACATATTAATTGCATCATATTTTGATTACCCCATTACTGCTATCATAAAATACACTTACTTGTAGGTTTAAAATTGTACATATGACATTCAATTGTATTACGCTCTGTCTGCAACGCTTGTTCACTGAAGTCTGTGAAGTTTCACATGCAGAAGGCTCCGGCAAAATGGAAATATTTACATGACTTCCTAACATTAACAGACGTAGAATATACCTGCAAAATGTAAGTTACGCACTAAAGGAAAACCGCACATCTCAAATGCATTAGACAGCACAAGTAGCGTCTCTGTCAGGAGCATGTGTCTGAGCATATGATGGGGACAGCCGCTTTAAATTATATGTGTTAACTATGTCTTGCAAATTATTTAAAGCCCTTAATATAAAGCATGTCTCATGTTTAGGACAAATTGGATGATGCACTTTCTCGCAGCAGCTCACTCTGTGCTATTATTTAGATGCACTCATATCAAACTACTGTACAGTATATCGATATTGTATTGTCTCATACCATAGCGCTTATAAAAACAACTCGATATACCGGCCAGCCTTACAATCAAGAATTGTCTTTTAAAATGACTGCCTGCACCCTTCATGCTTCATTTTTCAGACTGCTGATTTGGGTCAATCGCAACCCCTATCGAGCTCTCTGTTACCTTGTTTCACAGCGAGTCTAAAAACTCATCAAGTCTGACGGAGTACAGTGCAGGCTGCACAGTTCCACGTCCCTCGCTGCACCGGGGACAGGTTTCAATGATGCGCCACAGGAGTGCATTATCATGCATCTGATGGCAAACCCACCGTCAGCTCATTCCCCAAATTTCAGCATTTCCATCATGAAATCATTTAAAATAATAAAGGTGACGAGATTCGTCTCATCACTGTAGCAGCCAAGTGGAAAATAACTTTGCATTTCAAATGGCTTTTCATAAAGGAGACAGGCAGCTTCTCTTTTGTCAGATTAGCGCACTAGAACCTTCAGAATGGGAATGAAGGGAGTGTGTGAAAGCACGTACACACAATCACATTCAATGACGCTCAGTCTCCATTTGTGTAACCTGCACATATCGTTCGAGGGTGAGCAATATTTGGCCATTAATTACCCAGTATTCTCTCATGATATCTCTCACTTATGATAGCTCCTCCTGTTTGAGTAGGTCAGGGCTTGTGGGCCAAAAGGGATGAAGGCTTGGAGGAGAAAGAACCAGATTATTCCCTGCAAAGCTGTGGATCCTGCAAACACGAGCCGGTCTCAACCTGGCACTGACACGACTCCATTTCATAAGGTATAGCGGCTGTGATTATGATCTGATTCAGAGTGGGCGGCTTACCATGAACATGGCTCTGAAGTTGCTGAGGTCAGTGAAGAGTTCCTCCACAGAGGTCTTCTTGGGGTCGATGGTGAAATACTCCAGCATGTTGAGGTAAAGGGTCACCATATTACTGTGCATGATCACCAGCTTCTGGTACTGATCTCTCGCCTGCGTGGAGAAACTGTGAGGAATCATCGTCAAGGACAAGAATCTAGTATTGGAAAGTGAAACATAAGTTCATTAAACCAGCAGTGATTTATACAATTGTTATTTAACTTTCAAGTTCATTAGTGCAGTGCACTTTCATTTCAAAAAGGAAAATTGTTCATCTTTATTTCATTCTAACAGGTTACCCCTTGGTAAGGATGCTTTGAAGTCCCAAAAATTGTTTCTGCTCAGAAGGAACCAAAATGAAAACAATTAATTTTTAATCCCTGATCGCATCACTACACACCCATAATGCAACACTTGCTACAGAGCTGTGAAACCAGCACATGCAAAAAACCAAGACACATATACAGCGATAAATAGATAAATAGTCCACACAGAAAAGTCCAGTTCATTTTAATTATGGTTAAACTGCTGCACTTTCACAGAGCCGAGCGCTGTATCCATGACTGCTCTTTAGCCAATTAAAACTGCGTCTATGTGTACAGTAGGAACCAATGCAAAACATGTAATTTATTGGGAAAGAATGTATGCACACAGGCATTTTGTTCATCAACAAACATAATTATAGACAGTTAAAAAGTACTTCCAGTGAATACAGACAGCCATTTAAACTAGTGTTTATGTTCCACACTCACTGCATTTAGATCTAATGGCAGTATGTGTGCTGCAAATCTCTGCAAAGCCTGTTTTTATGGTGACCCTTATGGCCACACTGAAAACCTATTCAGATCTTAGAAACTTTTCACTTTCTGAAGATAACGGGAGTAGTGCTTTGTGCAAACCTCACCACCACAATATCAGCATGATTGCCTACTGGTTCAAGGTCCATCCACCTCTATGATTTACATTTTTTTTCAAAGCGACTTAGTGACATTGAATTCAAGGAATACATCAGTTAATGCTTTTTTTTTTTTAGAAATCAAAGCCATTACCTTGACGTCGCTATTGCCATGCTAGTGCTATATTGTTTGAGCTGCAGGAATAATATTCTAGTCTGGTAAATATTGCTCAGGTTCTTCAATGCAGATCTATGGAATTATTTTGCTCTGCCTTTATCCTCAACTATGCTAAAACTTGCAAGTCAAACTTGTTGTATAACCCAAAACATAAGTAATATTAACAGTTGCAAATGCCAATAATTAACACCCTACATGAGATCACTCGCATATCACATGCACATACTGTCATATGTTAACATGCATAAGCACACTGAAATATCACATACTTTGAACATAGATCTGGTGTGAAAAAAAGGAAATGGGTGATAATCTTTGATGAAGATCAAAGTTTCCCTTTTGGAATGGAAAGTAAAACCATCTACATCAGCAGACAAAGAAAGAAACAAAGGTCAAAAGGAAAATATTTATATACATAAGCACACTTGGGTTTAGACAGATTTTTTTTTACATTATATAAAAAGAAAATAGCTTAAATATTCTGATTATTTACTGCTATATGAAGGAAGTGTTTCAACTAGGATCTACAGATATAAAAGCACAACTGACCTACAACCCACACATCACACATTGAGCCACATCAAATGTCTATAACATATTATTTCTCACATATACACATGCACACACTCTGACATGAAAGAGAGGGAATCTGGGTCTAATCCTTGCTGTCAGGACAGAAATGCCTATGCAAAGATGGCAAGCTTTACTCCAAATATCATAGTAATATTTTGACTTTGATGTGGTTTTAATTAGTAATCCTGTTTGAAGCTGGTGCTTCACATCACACTTAAAAAAAAAAAAAAAAAAAAAAAAAAAAAAAAATAATACGTATTTTTGGCAGCAACACAATGCATGTAATGAAGCCTACTTAGAGCTCTATTTAGGGCTCTGTTCACAATAAGAAAAAAAAAAACAATGCTCAATAGATCTGCACTGACAGTCAACTCTAGGTTAAAAGTGGATTAATTCTTGTACTTAGTGTGTTAAAGTTCATCTCCTCTCACCTTCCTCTTGGCTTTGCGCCTCTCTGCTTTCCGTCTGGCCTTCTCCTCCTCACTAAGATCCTGGATCAACTTCCAAAAAAGGTTCTCTTTTATACCAGCATTAGCTTCACAGTGTATGTGTGTGTCTGTGTTTATGAGCTGGCCGCAGGGTGAACTGTTCAGTAGGTTGTGCTCTCAGATTGACTTGTGAACGGCACCACGACAGCACAGTCACACTACAAACAGATCTGAAGTTAAGTGACAATCTCTCCTGCTGTCATTCTCCTCCTGTCTTTCTTAAGTTAAAGCCTACAAAATGCTTTAGGGTATTCTGCTCACTCGCTATAAATAACAGTGCATCTGATTTATCAAAGCTGCCTTCATCTTCAGCTCATATGTTAGGACAGTAGATCTCATCTGAGTTTGCTTGAAGACTACCATTTATATGAATCATTGACTACGTTTACATGTGCACCAATAATGCAGAGTAAGGACTTAAATTAAGATGTTTACAAGACACTAGCAAACCTCTTCACTCCTGTTTACATGCAATTTTCATTATTCTGATTATAAAAGTAAGTAGTGGTGAGGGGATGCTTGAACAAACACCTCTGATAGGCCACTGCATTCAAGAAATCAATAGATATGTCTGTGATTGGCTACAGTGCTCAACGCTGCGAAAACACGTAACTAGAAACCTTTGAAGCTCTCCTGAGTGCAAGCTCAAATATGCATTAGAGCATTTCCTACTTTTGCAGGCTCAACTGAAAGTGCTTTTTGCTTTTGTTTCATTCATGAAATTGTGTGAAGAATACGCAGCATCCATGTGCGTCTGAGCACTTGCACACTTCGGCCAAAGCTGTAATAATGCGTTTAGGGCATTTACATGCCTGTTTATTGCAATTAAAATCGACATACGCCACATAGTTTTATGCGATAATGGTTACTAAGATTATGAGCTTAATCGCATTATTTTGACGTATTGACGTACTTTACATGCGGTCAAGTTTAAAATCGCAATAATGCCAAAATCCCAATATAATTACATTATGAGTGCATGTAAACATATTCATTGAGCATGCTACCCACACAGTAAAAATGTTCAATTCATAAACAAAAATATATGTACATATAGTATATAATTTTTTATGTTTTTAAATGGAGTTATTTTATTTTAAGGCCATTATTATTCAAGTGTATATTCTCTTCAAATGTGTGGAGTCTGTAAAATTGTTTTAATGTTTTAGATATTAGTCTTTTATCACCAAGGCTGCATTTATTTGACAAAAAAATAAGAAACAGAACCAGAAATTTAAAAAAGAAATATTGTGGAGAATTGAGGTGAATTTAACATAACTTTTTTTTTCTATTTTAATATATTTGAATTTACTCCTGTGATGGCAATGCTGAATTTTCAGCAGTCTTCAGTGTCACATGATCCTTCAGAAATCATTCTAGTATCCTCATTTTCTTTTTATCAATGTTAAAAACAGTTGTGCTGCTTAATATTTCTGTATAAACCATGATACATTTTTTTTCAAGCTGATTTGATTAATAAAACATTGAAAAGAACAGCATTTATTTGACATTTTCTATATTGTTAGGACGTAACGTCAATGCTGTTTTATATGCATTAGTATGCAAGTGGTTGTGCTGAATCAAGCGAAATCTCCGCTGTTTGGTAACTACTGTCCTAGACGCCAACAGTTTGTTTGCAATCTCACCTGAACCTGACTTGAATAATCAGGTATTCCTAGGCAAGGAAAAGTGACTATTAGCCAGAACTCTGTTAACATGTGGACACCTAGAAACTGGACAGAGCTACTTTAACCCACGCATATCACTCCAGGACTCAGTATAACAGGTCCTCCATGACTTATTCATGATGAAGACGTTATAAGGGAGGGCAGACAGGCTGGCCAGCGATGCTTGTTCGGCACACATGTGAAATCTTTAGGGAGTTCTTCCGGCTGCATATGCACACAGATTTGTTTTGTGCGTCTCCTCTGCTGTCTTGTATACTGCGAGTTCATTCACGCCCTCCAAGCACACCTGCTTTGCTCTCTGATTAGAGAAAGAATGGAGCACAGGGGACGTGATCAGCTAATGAAAGGACAGACGGTGTATGAAAGCGAGAGATAAGACTTCATTAACTTTAATACTGATCTGGTTGCTGGTGCTAAGAGCTCAGAGGACAGAAAAGGGCCCATGCCGTGTGGAGCTGAGCGGTGTTAACACTGACAGAGGAAAGAGAGAGGAAGGTGGACTCTGGGTTTTTGCTCTAAATGACAGAGAGCTAAACTAAATAAAGAGAGAGAGGCTGACCCTTGAACACAAGCTCTGTGCAGAGGGATAGAAAAGCATCGATTTTCTCCTGTACACCTGAGCTTCTTAGTCACTCTCATACTGTACACTCACACATAACACCTCTAAGACACACTATTAACAAACACCACATAATACCTGGAACACACACATACACACAATATGGATAAAAGTAAAAAGCTACATGCATACTAACAGGTGTACTAAATGAATCATACTGCAGGGATGCAAACTCATCATGGGTGAAAAAGGTGACAAAGACACGCAACCCCCCTCCAAAAAAAAAAAAAAAAAATTAAACACTTATACAATATTTAAAAGCCTTATTATTTTTAACCTTACAGTTGTGCAGTAAAATTCAATTTAAAGTCATGGAGATGACGGAAAACATGTGCCAAAAAAAACCTTGTGGAAAACAAAGACTTTTGAGATGACAATTACATGAAATTACCATTAGATCCAGTAGATGGCAGCAGAGGATCACTCAATAGCTCAGTTGCCATTTCCACTCCCTAGTTTTCAGGTCTTGATTTTGAATTTATTACAAAATTATTATAACAAATTTTAGTACTGTACAGTACTGTAGTAGTATAGCAAGTACAATTAAATAATAATGATTAGATTTAATTTAAAAACTACATTTTTTAAACACTGCCTTAAAAAGGACACATCAAAAATACTTTTTTAACTGTAGAAGCTGCTAAATATATTCAGCCAACACAGACTTGTTGCTGTTGTAGTTTTGTTACTCTGAATTTACTCTGCATCACTTAATGCATAGGTCTATTTTTGACATCGGTTTGTCAGATAGATCATTCCACCCAGGGGAGTTATCACTCTCAATCATAGGAATTAATGACGAAACAATTTAGCGGATTCACTCGCGTAATTTTTTACACTCGCGTTTGTCATTCTTGAAACCGTATACGTGGACGTTCGGGTCCTCTTAGACGAACAAAACTTTTCTTCAAATTGTCAATGGATTATGTAGAGATTCTAGAGAAACAAAGCAAAGCTCTTATAGCGCAACTGAACGAGCTTACTAGCTTAGGTAGATCTACAAGCGTATAGAACTCTGTAAACTTACGAAAACAAAAATTAGTTCAGAGGAGATTTTTCTGATTAACATACAGAAAACACCTCTGACTGGCCATTGCTTTCAACAGAGATGCCTGTGATTGGCTACAATACTCAACGCTGCAAAAACATGTAAATAAACTTGTGGTTTTGTAATTCGAAACAAGAGAGTGCACGCAAAAACACACAGGAAGGAGCGTTTAAAAGTGGTTGACTACAGCGGGTACAGATATGAATTGGTAATAATGGTACTGTAAAAAGCCCCCCCCAAACACAAAAAACACTTTCTCATTGGATCTACACAAATCTCGCAGGTGACCTATTTTGATCTCAAAAAGGTGAGTTTTCACCGAAAGGTGAGGAATTTGCATCTATGATACTGTCATGCAATCTCCATGCAGACATTTACAGTTAAAAAGGCCACAACAAAACACCTTCATGTACTATCATTTTGAAATGAAGTGTGTAGGGCACTAAACTCCTCAGAAAACATGGACTGCCAAATTTTGGATGGATGCATCAAAAGTAGGTAAACTTCACTTGAATCAAAACGCGATTTGTACTAGTGTCTGTGAATATTAAGCTGCAAAAAGAGCATTTAAATATGAATCCTGCATGTTCTGTGTGTCTATGAATGGCACAGATGCTCGGTTTCGTTTACTACACACATATTGAAGCACACGTGACGCTTGCGGTGTTTTGAGCCTCTGCCGCCTCAATATATGAGCACATGAACACAATCTCTAGAGTCACTTCATGAGCATTTTACCGTTTCTTTTGAGAAAAACTATCGTCATATCATATACAAACAGAAACCTAAAGGTCTTAACAGTAACCCATCAAAATAAAAATGTGGTTTAACTTGAAGAAAACATGACAGAAATATTACTTAAAGGTCCCATATTGTCAAAACTGAAATTTTTCATGATAACTGAGGTCTAGGTACTATGTAACTACCATATAAGTTTCAAAACAGTCAGGTCACCACCCCGAGCACTGCCCACAGTCTCCTTTTGCCAAACCCCCAGACAACATCACGTCCATGCTATTGCCAGTGGCAGCAGATATGCGATCAAATTTCTTATTTTAGGCTGTATAACATCGATTCTGGCACCCAACATCACAATAAGATGATATTTTAAGGTCCTTATGTAGCCGAATCTGCGCTGGGTTTGAATGGGCCGCCTCCAGTTTCCCCTTTGTTTTGCTGCCTCCAGCTAGCGCGGTGACGTCGGCTGACCCTAGTTACCGGTGGTTGGCCTGGCCATGCATCACTCAGAAAACAACAGGCCAATCAGAAGAGAGGCTCATGAATATTAATTAGACAGGCCAAAATCGACCTGTTCTCAGCAATATATTGAGATGGTTTTTGGTACTTATACCGCAAATATATATTCTTAAGGACATCAAAACCTAAAATAAAACTCCAGAAAGGTGTAAAATATGGGACCTTTAATGTAATGATAGTACTACTGCTACTAATACAATTATTATTAAAACTATTTTTAAAGGAATATTTAGCAGAAAAATTATTTACCAAAATTTATTTAGCAGAAAAATGTAAATACACAAGACAGTATTTCTGAAAAAATGTAATAAAATGTAACCATTAAAACAGAGTCTAGAAAGATTAAAATGGAATACTGAGAAATTAAAACGGAAAAAAACGGAATTTGGGAAAAAAATTTAATGGATTTCATAAGGCCCTAAGTGTTCAACAAGCACATATGGATGTAGTATGGGTGTCAATTAATTTAAATGCTACACATAAAATTAGGCATATTAACATAATAACATTGGCAGGCAGCCATATCACCCTGTAGCCCAAGACTGGTTGCCCACTGAAGCAAAGCAGGGCTGAGCCTGGTGCGTACCTGGACACTATACTGTCAACAAGCACCGTCCTTCGGATGAGACGTTAAACCGAGGTCCTGACTCTCTGTGGTCATTAAAAATCCCAGGATGTCTTTCGAAAAGAGTAGAGGTGTGACCTCGGCATCCTGGCCAAATTTGCCCATTGGCCTCTGATCATCATGGCCTCCTAACAATCCCCATATCTACTGATTGGCTTTATCACTCTGTCTCCTCTCCACCTATAAGCTGGTGTGTGGTGGGCGTTCTGGCGCAATATGGCTGCCGTCGCATCATCCAGGTGGATGCTGCACACTGGTGGAGGATGAGGAGATACCCCCTGACAATGTAAAGCGCTTTGAGTGCCTAGAAAAGCGCTATATAAATGTAATGAATTATAATTATTATACACAATATGAAAATAATTTATTTTGAGATTTGCAAAAAAACTGCATTAAATTATTGGTGTTTTTTAATAAAAAAATAGCAAAGGTAAACTAAATGTGAAAAATAACGGAAATTAGCAGCACAATTCAATATCTGTATAGCATAATATAAATATTAAGTATATTGACCTCCAATATCACAATATCCGTCTATTAACGTCTAATTAATATCTATTAACCTCCAATATCACAATATCAGTCATTGTGTTACCATAAGACCATATCATGGATCCCTAATATTTTCGTACATAACTAAAAACGTGCACATTCAACATCGACTCCCAGTGTAAGAGACCAACGCAAAAACTTGGTTTGTAATTGCTATCTGGAAACCTAATAAGCTGCTCACTAAGAGAACATATTTTTGCCTTCATCAATGTGTCCAAATTTTAAAATCAATACCCAAAAATGCTGTCTAGCAGGGTAGCTCACTAAGATTTTAGTCAATGCATTCATAAAACATCTCAGCAGGGATGAGGTACTAAATGTAGCTATTAAATGGGGAGAATAATAAAAATTACAGAAAAAACAAAGAATAAAAACAAAAGAAAAGTAAAATACTATAGCATACAAAAACAAAAAGGCAAAAAAGTTAATAGAAATGGTGCTGCATAAAATAATTAGAAAAAAAAAAGTGTGTGGAAGGGTGGAAGACAGTACACTATGTGGCTGGTGAGTAAGATAATAACCTCCCTTGGTAGAGTCTAGCCAGGACAGCGTGAAGGGTAGAGCAAGTCGGGTCAGACCCAGAACTGCAGGCATTCATTGGATCATGAGCACCACACTAAAGTATTAAAGTAAAAAAAAAAAAAAAAACATCTGTTTTTTT